TGCTAGTTAGTTAAAAAAGGTAACACTAGCTAACTATAAAAACTAAAATAGTAAGCTATATTACTATAACTAACTTATAATTTTTAATTTTAATAAACTAAGAATTAAACTACTCTAAATTATACATAACTTGCCTGTTAAAGAACACTTAGGCAAAGAAAAGACTCTTAACCTACTATAGAGAGAGTACTACTAGCCCCGCATGTTCTATACTGTACGCTAATATATATTATGTTGCTATACTTGCTGTAAAGTAAAGGCCTTTTAAAAAAGGTATAATAGCCTACTTAAACTGCTTCTAATTTTTAAATAAGCTTAGAAAGATATATTAATTAACTTTATTATAAACTTACTTTTATCAAAAAGGTATATAAATATTATAGTAGTTATTAATTACTTAACTAAGTATTAACACCTAATACTATATTTCTTTATAACTGCCTCTAATATAGCCTAGTTATTCTACTAATATATATAGGTTTACTATAGCCTACTTAACATAATTATATTAGACAGAGGTACACAGTTTGTCTTAGCCTTTTAAAACAAACTTTATAAATAGCTCTAAATTATCTTTTATCTATCTATAGCTTTTTACCTAGAGACTAATAGCTAGACTAAGAACATAAACACTATAATAAAATAAGTCTTATAAGTGTATACAAACTACTAGTAAAATAACTAGGTAAAATAGTTAGCTATAGTATAGTTTAAAGCTAATAACATAATATCTAAATTAACATAAGTATTCTTATTCTTAGTAAACTATAAATACTACCTTTAAATAGAATTTAAACTACTTTTAAATACCTCTTAACTAACTTATTAATTTATATAAGTAATAGATATAAATAGACTTATTAATAAAATTTAAAATATATCTAAATACATTTATAAAAAGCTTATATAGGCTTAAGCTTTTTAATAAGAGTACGTAAACTAATTTTAAACTCTTACTCTTATGTATGCAGCTAGCAAGAAGGTCTAGCTAAACACTAGAAATATTTAAATAAACTAATAATTAAAGAAACTTAATTAAAAGAACTTTAGCCTTTTTATAGTAGCCTATATAGTTTTATTATACACTTACTAATTAACCCTACCTAACAGCATAAAGATACACCCTGTGTTCTATGTATTATTGCTGCGCTAAGTAGCCTCTAAATCTAACTATTTACTTAAACAGCTAAACCTGCTACTTAAACTTATTATTATAAATAATAAACTAAAATATGTTATAAAAAATATTAAATACATTTAGTTTAATAAGAAAAAACATATCTATAAATACTTTATAAAATAGACTAGATATAACAAACTATTATAGGAACCTGCAGAAGCCTTATAAAAAAACTTTATAGTAACCTAATTTTATGCCTAATACCTATCTAAACTAAACCTGTACTCTAATAAAGACAACCTAATGCTAGAACTACTAATGTAAAGGATTCTTTTTTTAATAAAGGGGGGGTACTGTTACAGTATCCTCTCTAGATCCTAGACATAACTGTATTAGACATGTACTAGAGTATTATTAGTGCATGTCTAACATAAATATAACATAACATAAACATAAACTTAAGTATAAACTGCTTTAACACTAACTAAACTTAAAATAAGCTTAATTTATACTTAAAGCGCTTAGACTTTTAAGCTAAGTATTTAATTACTAATTTTTTTTTAAACCTTTCTGTTCCTTACACAATGTCTTGTACCTACTATAATACCTTACATAGTAATTAAACTAGACCTCTGTGAAGCTCTATAACCTTACTCGTGCACAATCGTGACATCTCTCTAAACTTATAATAACTACTTTAGTAGATATCTAGCCTATTATAAACTTTATTTTATTAAAGTTGTATATGTTATTATTTTAGATGCTATACTTAGCTTTAATATTTTTTATAAAGTTAAACTAGCTTTAAATTACTATAAAATTTTTATAAAAAGCTTTTTTATAGTTATACTTACACTTAAACTTTACTTTAAGCTTTAAGTAATACTTAATAAATGTATTAAGCTAGTTTATGCTAACATAGCCTATATTACACTTAGTGTGTAAAAAATTAGCTATATTAGCTATAGCTACTAGCTAAGAGAGAAATCCTTACACATTTAGCTTAAGTATGTGCTAAATAATTACCTACTTTTTATTATTATCTAGCTTTTATAAGTTAGCTGTATAATTAGCTTAAAAAGGTTATCTAGCACATTAGTTACTTATTATTTTTTAAAAAACTCTGTAGATAGCTATAGCGTGTTGCTTAAAAAGTGTTATGTCTTATTTAAAAGCCTAGATTATAAGCTGCATTTAATATTTTTTTAACATGTCTAAGTAGTGTTATTAAGAATGCATTAGTGTAGAAAGGGTAGTGTAGTAGGGTCTTAGTAAAAGTAAGCAACTTAGGTGTGTAAGCAACTTGCCTATAAAGTACGTTATAATCTATTAGTTTTATTTTATTTTTAATAACTACTTTTTTACGCAGTTATATGCAGTTTGTGCGCTTTACTTAAGCTACTTGTTAAAAAGCTTTAAAATTACTTTTAAAGCTTTTAGCTTTTTATAAATAGTTTTTTTATTCTTAATAATAAAGTAGTTTATTATACAAACAGCGCTTTTAATAAATACACAAACGTTTAATAGAGCTTTACATAAAGTTTTAAATAACTTTAGATTATTATAGTAGTCTTTATAAGCTATTGTATAGCATTTCTAATTATTAAAGTTTAAGTTAGAGACTATAGAGTTAGAACTAAGCTAAGTGCTGCCTATATAAAACTTTGTAACCTTAGGCCTCTATAGCATAGTGTTAACTAGAAGATTTTCTAGTAAGAGGTCTAGATTAATATACTTCTAGACACGCTCTCTAGTTGCTTGTATCTTAATGCAACTAAACTAGGGCTGCTAGTTGCTCTTTTTAGTAAGCTATATAAAAGTATTAATATTTAAAGTTATCTTTTTATATGTTAATAGTAAGAAGTTGCTTATATAAATTAAGTAGGTCTTCTATTAACAAGTAGTTTTAGTTTAGTAGATAAAAAAGTTATTATTTAGTTAATTATGCTTAGCTAGTAAGCAATCTATAATTAATATGTTTTAAAATAGATAAAAAGTTATTATTTTATTAATTAAGCTTAGCTAGTAAGCAATTTGTAATTAATATATATAGAATAAACTAAAGGTTATTATCCTATTTATTAAGCTTAGGTAGTAAGCAATCTGTAATTAATATGTTTTAGAATAGACAGAAGGTTATTGTCTAGTTAGTTAGGCTTAGCTAGTAAGTAATCTATAATTAATGTGTTAAGGTTTGCAGGGTCCCCTAAGCTAGATGTAAAAGCTAAATGTGCAGTAGTAACTATAGTACTAGTTAGAAGCGCAACTTTAGGCTTATAACTCTTACATAAGCTAAGAAGGGGTTATATAGGAAGCAAGTTAACAAGGTAGTAAGATCTAAACAAAGTAGATTATACAAGTGTATTATAAGGTCTAAGGAGCTTAATAGAGCTCTAGGCTGACTATATACTGTACAAGAGAGGAGCTATGCCTAATGAGTGAATAGTGCAGTATATGGGTATGATATCGCGTGAGACACGTGCGACAGGAAGCCCTGCCAGCACTGGATTGACAGATTACCCTTCCTGATATTGACGCATAGATGCCTTAAAAGTAGTTAGATATTTGTCTAAGTATTTTTTGGAGTCATGTCCTGTACCAAAGTATCCAAATCGGACTTCTGAGAAGGCAGAAGAAGTCTTATCGTTGCAATTGTCCAATTTGGCCACGAATATACCCGGAATTCCAGCACAAGTGCTCATGCAGCCGGTGAGTGATAAATCTTGAATCCAAATCAGTATACTGATCAAACTCTGTATAATGAGGAGTCGTACTAAAAAAAGACACAACTGGGTACTCATAGGAGATACGTCCAAATTCGATAATCCGCCCTTTCTATTTTCCTCAACATTGGCCTACCCTAGGGACATGTTCGACTTTCGCATGTACTGAGGAAACCCCATTACTGCGATTCTTGCTACACGATGTCGTGTTATAGTCAAAGATAGTGGGTCGGTAGAAAGTGATGAAATGCGAAGAGGAAATGGTTGCACAGTAAGACTTCTCGAAAATTCTTGAAGGGTTATCTGTACCTCTTCCCTGCGTTTGCTGCACGTTGATACTCTAGCCACAAGGAGCTTCCAACATAGCCCACCCAAGATTTGACGCAGGCGACAAATTTAGTATTCTGGCACGAATTGAAAAGAGGTGAGCGCTTCTTAAAGGCGACGTAGTCCTTCATACATAGCATCCCAAGGCTCTGTGTACTTTTTGGTCCATCACGCGACGGCGGAGCGTTACGCTAGACCTCACCGAATGTGACAAATGCTACGCCAGCTTCAACTGTAATTCGTCATAATACCCGCTTTGTATGCGGCGTAGTACTTAGCTAGACAGAATCAGACAACCATTTGGCGCTTTTCCTCCCTTTTAGCCAAGAGGCTGTGCCGCAAGGCCGGACAGGTCTTCGGTTTTCTAACCAAGGAGGTCCTCTATTCAAAGCGCAACTGACAATTATGCTGGGGGTGAAACTGAGCGGCTATTGCGAACCCGGGATACCTACTTGATGCTCACGGTCAGACCAACCAAACCAGTTCTCGGACGTTGAATATAACCAGAAAAGTCCAGCTAAGCCTTTCCCAAGGAACAAGCGGCACTCAAAACAAAATTTATAGCACAATATGACTGAGAAGGAGTCCACGAGTGGTCGACGGAGAAGCCGAAGCATTTTAACGTAAAATTAGGAGGCGCCTGCTGAAGGAGGCAAAGACATGATGAGATCAAAAGGCGCGCGACAATGAAAATACTATCATCTCACATAGAAAGCCATTATATATGTGGAGAGCCTGAGACCTTTTAGTTTAACATCATTAGAACTCTCATCATTCCCTTTCTTTGTGCCGTCTCTCAAACCATCCGTGCTCACACCCTGATACCCACAATGTCGACTCGTGTCCTATATCTGATATCCTTCCGTCAAAGCTCCCGACAGCGCGCCCATTTTGCGATCTGGGTTCCGTATGCCAATGGCAAAGATGGAACGCTCATTCATGTGGTAGGAGCGCCAATGGCTGGGTTTCAGCTCGAGTTCAAACGAGGATACGATCCGAGCGCAACCGCTCAGAGGCTCGAGTCATTCCAGATCGGGCAGATTAACTCGCATCATGTCCACGACTGGACTGGAGAGAGGTCAAACGACTCCACTCCAAGGGGCAATGTGGAAACAGCAGCCAGTCAAATACCACCACCTCGAAAAAGCGAGAACTTTATGGCTCCGGTCAACGAGGTAAGATAGAGGTAGAACTGTACCCTTGTCCCTTTACTAACAAAGATAGACAACGAACCGCCGGTGTCAGGAGTGGACCATGGACTTCGTTCGACGACTAGTCTCCCTTCAGTACCTTGATAATTCAGCCATAGACATTGTCCAGTCCAAGCGAGATTCCCCCACTCACGGTATAGTGGGTCTTCAGGCTGGAGCAGGAGCAGCGGCTCCGCAACAACAAGTTCCGCAACCACAGCAACCACAGCAGCAAACATCTTCAACCGATTGGGAATGGGATGAGAACTGCAAGCGCTATCGACGCTGGGAGGGGGGAAAGTGGGTGTGGCAATAGTAGCCTAAACTTGTCGCACGTGAAACTGGTTCACGTGACCTAGCGCAGGGTGAATGTGGGTCCTTCACTCCCCACCCCTTTCCTGTTTATGACTAGCACCCTTTTAGCTACTATATATTTACCCCCAAGCTTTCTCGAGCTCCAGAGACCTTACACCTCACCTCAATCTACCTAGGTCGTCTCTTATTACCTAATTGACGCTCCATGCTCTCCCCCATCCTTCAGCTCTAACCCTGCAATATAAACGAAGGTTCGTTATTCCACCAACGCTTTATTCTATATTGAAATAACCGCCGCAACGCTTAGCAGTACCCTATTCCGAGGTACGGACTGCTGTTTTGGAAATCGTCTGGATCTAGATCAACATCGTTCATTCTTTGTTGTTTCGTTCTTCTATTGCATCGTTGCTCCGTGTTTGTCGTTCCTCCGTTGTTTGTCGTTACTCTATTCCTTGATTTTTTTCCTACTCTGCTTCATCATCTGATGTATCACTTATGCTAGCTCCGATCATGCTCTACCTAAACAAGCCTAGTTAGCCTCTCAATACGGAGAACAAAATATAAGTTGTCGTACCAAAACCTTACGTGAGATGCCGCGTCTAGTTACAGAAATAGCCCAAGCCCTGTCGCATTTTCGCCCTTCAGAACCCCCCAATACTATTGCAGGTGAAGTCCCAAGCTTCCTTGGATTGTGGATGTGGGGTAAGGAAAGAGTCGATCCATCCGCCACATCGCCAGTCTTCCCAGTCGCCGACAGAATACGTAGCCTTGCAATACTCCCAGTAGTCAGGATACCACCCAGCCTGTTCCCAGTCAACAATGCTTAGGACTCTTGTAGGAGTCGTAGACGTAATAATAATATTTTTTCGGTGAAGATCAGAATGCGTAAAAACTATAGGACCGTCATCTGGCAAAGACTTCCTCCAAGGGTCTGACACTTTTTCCGGCTCTGGGGCAATACGACGCCACAACCATGACAAATGGTCGTGAAATTCTCTAACGCTAGGGAATGGCCCTGTCCCTGGATAACTGTCTAGTATGCGATCTTGTAGAGGTCCATGTGTGATAGAGCCTATGCGCAAGCATAAGAAGCTGTTCGATAAACATATGAATAGCAGAACGTACCGATCACTTGATTTGATGGACTTTGCCTTATAGCACGAAGCTGCGACATGATCGTCCGAAGACTCTGGCATATTGCTCGTTTATCATCAGAAGACAGTGAATCGTACCGCTCAAAAAGTGTAACGCCATGGATAAGCTCCATATATATAAACACATGTCGTCCATCGCTATCCCATCCATACACTTCAGGCACAGGTACCTGACCGTAGAGGAATTTCCTGATTGCCCAAAGACATAGAGCCTCTGAAGTAGAGATCGTTGGCCCAAACTTGACGATAAGGTTAAGCTCCTCAAATTTGACGGGCGGAGGATTGCTCGGTCGCTGATTGATGAGTGAGCGCGCTAGAACTTCGACGGGAGATGGTAAGGTCCGGCTTGTGCCATGATCTCGGAAATAGGAGGAGTCAAGAAAGTGCATTCGTGGCTTGGTGCCATCTGGCAGGTCGGATGGTGAGAAACGCACGCAGCTAGTCATTTTGATTTGCAACTCAGAATGACTTCCCTGTGCAGAGTATGTTCTGGAATGAAAGAGGATAGGACGTAAAGAAAGGCGAGCGAAGTGTTCATGGAGCAACGAACATTTTTAGGAAAGTGGATGGTTGGCTGGGTAGATGTAAGAGGTGTGAAGCTTTGCTGCGCCTCAGAGGCACGGACGACTGACTCAGCAGGGTGGCCAGCAGGCCTCAAATCATAAGCCGATCAGCGGCCACGAAGTCCTACTGCACGCGCCTAGTCGCCGTGGCTGGAAATACTCATTAGTGAGATTTCTTCGATGGATAGCTAAGTGTAGAGGCGATGGATGATAGCCTGCAGCTCACCGCTGCGGGCTGTTGGAGCGCGAATTCGACGCGATGAAAACTTTCAGACGCGCCGACCGCACCACAACCACACTACCTACTACCTCCGTTTGGGTGATGCGATCATCCATCTATGGAGGCTCATCAGGGGAAACTAGGATATGAAAACTACCCAACGTACTACTATCTGGCTCGTAGCCAGGCCCGAAACTGGCGTTATCCAGCCTCCAACAGCGAAGAACTTGTAAAGGCACCCCTAGAGAACTCGTAAAGGCCCCTCCGAGAGGGCCTATCTGGTACACCCAGGAGACTCAGAAGAGAGTCTTAATAGGCGTGGTGCTCGCGATCTGGAGACACTGACCGGACGGCCCGACGAGGCGGATCACCTCTGGTGGTAACACAGGCAAGGCTCTAGGCGGCGGAATCACAGGCCAGCTTCGACGGCCTCCAATGAACCTGTTAAGGGTACGTCTAGGCGACTCATAGGAGGGTCTTAATAGGCGTAGTGCCCGCAACCTACGACAAGGATACAGGCCAGTTGGGGAGGCTCTGAAGGAATCACATGTCAGTCGGACGAGGACTCGACGGTTGGAGACACAGGCCAGCTTATGAGAAGAGGGGGCACAAGCTTGGTTAGTGGAGAGGGTGGAGCAGGTCGCCCGGCGCGGAATCCGGTCTGTGACCCACTCCGCAAGACACGGTGGGCCTGTCACGAAACTCTTACAAGCAACGCGAAGCGGGAACTAGAAGTATGTGGGGAGTTGCGCCCCTACATCGCTACTGAGCTCCCGCGAGGCGTAGTGCGTAGTAACCACTGTTGGCTCCAAGGACCTCACCCCTTCACTCGGCTCTGACCCTTGGTGGACCTGGATGGCAGGCAGGACCACGTCCGGCCGGGGAGACTATTACGTGGCTCGAGAGAATGGATGCGCGTGTCGGTGCATCAATAGATGGGACCGTTCGTTAGGACGGCGTGCCAGTGACACGTGCTTAAGGAGCAAGCAGGAGTTACCCAGGCGGGAGAGGTTTGACTGGGCCCAACCGTAGAGGGTGTGTGAGGTGTCCAACAGTTGTGACGATCCCGCTGGAAAACTGGGGTAGAGGCCTGGATAAGCAAGCATGTCGAACTCTGCTGTATTCCTAGCATTACTATTTAATATATAACTACCTGCACTACACCACCAGAAGCAGACCATACTCTCTTCCTCTAACTACAGTCACCGCTAATAGAATAGGAACAATCCTGCTGTTGGACAAGCTACTGATTTAACATTCATTTAGTAGAGCTATGATAGTTAAAAGTTCAGGCGTTGTGGAAAGTTAATAGAGTGGACAGCTTGCTTGTATAGACGGCTAGCTTGTAAAGTACGTTATATAATTTTAGCGACATACCTTAGAATAGTGACATGAGCAAGGTTGAGCTCGACCAGATGCGGCTGTATCAGGTTAGCATGGACAAAGAAGGCTTAGCTACACCCCTATTTTAACATTTGAATCGCTACCCCTAAGACCCAACGAACTACTCTTATCCAACCCTTGTGACCTTGTCATGCCGCTTAGGAACGCCCGCACCTACACAGAATTCATTAAAGGAGACGCTACTTCCCGTACCCTAGAGCGAACTGTCTCGGCCGGAGCCTAAGCCAGCACGGTGTTCGATAAGCGAAACTCCAAGGAATATTTGCAGCGCGAATATAAAATACTAGCAGCACTTTTAGCAAAACGGTAATAAGAGTAATGAATCCATTTTAAATTGAAAACTGTACAAAGTATTGGCATATATTAGCAGCTTTTAAGTGTAATCATGAGATGTTGATAATGGAATACAGTAATGTAATATCTCTATAGCGGGCCGTCATGGTGATGATACACCTATCCAACCCCTGAGTACCGTAGGCTTGGCACGGGGTATATAGGCTCCTCGGCCTCCGTATCTGTTTGCAGTGGTGACACTCGGATGCGCCGTCACCATAGTCACACGATAGTCGGATGTGTCGTCACACGATGGTCGGATGCGTCGGCACCATAGTCGTATGCATCTCAGCATGGTCTGTTACCAAGACTCACCCACTTATTTCGCATATATATAGACTCCTACAAAGGACTCCTCTAGCAATACATTCAATGCAGTTCCTCATGCCTCTGGTGCCTCACATAGCCTCACAGTATCTCTGCCTCCGACCCTAAGGTTTACTCTCGTTAGCCCCCCTATCCTGCATTCCCTCTCTGTGCCTCGTGCTTCCTTCCCGATACCTCTCACACAGGCGCTTAAATCCATAGGATCATCGACACAACTATATGCACTAAGCGACAGCCAAAAGGGATGCACAAGTTGAACTAGCCAGGATTTAACCTGCAAAGTTAATATTTATGAGGGAGATAGCATCCCCCTGGATGCTGAGTCCCATCCAAATCTTTGATCTAGTCTGCTTGCGGGTCCTCATAAGCCCAACCTATTACAATTGCGCCCTCCTTGTACAATACTCTTGATATTAAATCTAGACTTTACGTATTAGGAAGGGCATGAAGCAAACTATAGCCACATTAGTTATATTTCAAGAGACCTTAAGCGAGCTTGTGGACAACGTTACCCCCAAACTAGACTTAAGCTACCTAAGCGTTGCGGTATAAAACCTAATTCCGCAGCGAGGACACAGTTCCTCTTTTTGATTAAATTTAACACTATTATGAGGCATATGCCATCTGCGCTAAGCTATTACATACAGGTGTTTAGTCTAAGCTAGGATGGTTATCTCAAGCAGACTGCTTTTGCATATGCTGGAAAGTTGCGGTGTGGGAGTTCGATTATGAGAAACGCGTTCTAACGCGCAGTCTTTAGAAATTAGAACAGTTCAAAGGGTATATCAAGCCTTTCGAAAACGCTATAATTACAGTAAGCACCCTCCACTTATAGATATGACTATTATCAATGGCATTACTAAGTCTGAATACCCACAGAGACAGTTAAGGAGAGGATCTAGCGTGAATAGTCTGGAAGCTCCATGAGCAGGCCCTTCGAAGAAGTCCTTCTACTATTCATTCCTCTCACTGAGGTTTTGGACTGTACGAACGCTAGGAGCGATAGCGAGGGCAACTGAACCGACTGGGGCATGCATCTTTTAATCTCTTGTATAGAATATACTACAACAATGGTTGATCTGCACATGTTTTGAGTCTATAGGCTTGCACCCTGCTCAGACCTTTTCGTTTGCGGCGAGTTGATTTTTCAACCCGTCGTGGCCCAGGTAGATTCGTAGTTTTTCCGTACTGATGGAGCGGAGGAAATCTTGCATGAGCTGAGGAGGGGACATATGGCAAACGACTCGACAAGGGAGCGAGATCCAAACAAGGTGGAATGAGTGTATTGTAAGGTCTGAGGAGCTCGATAGAGCTCTGAGCTGACTATATACTGTACGAGATAGGAGCTATGCCTAATGAGTGAATAGTGCAGTACATGGGTATGATATCGCGTGAGACACGTGCGACACACCCCCCCAGCTTTAACAAAGTGAATACTAAAGCAAAGCTGTACAAAGAGAAATAATAGACTGTAGGTGTACAGTAGTGCACTTAAGAGTGCGTAACAGCAAAAAAGAAGTTAGTAGGCTTAGGCTTTAAAGCTAATGTTAGTAGAGTAAGCCTTTAAGGCGTTACTTAGGCAGACAAGGCTTAGTTATTTAATAAATGCTTAATGCTTTTGTTAAAGTAGAAACTTAGTAAGGCTATTAGCTGGCATGTCTGCAGTAGGGATCCAGTGTATGCAAATCCTTCTTTTCTGTACCTCTTAGCAAAGCCAGTAGTTGTGAATGTTAACGTGCTTAAGCTTAGTATTAAGCTTAGAGTCTTTTACTATAGCTTGTACAGTTTGTTAATTGTTGCATAGTAGGGTAGGTTCTTCCTTAGTGTTAAAGTCTATATTAGTAAAGAATTGCTTCTACTACTCTAGGTAGCTAGCAGTGTAAGAGAGAGCTAGGAGCTCTACTTTAGTTATTAATTTAGTAACTAAGCGCTGCAAGGAGGCCTTCTAATTAACAGCTGCGCTAAATAGTGTGAATAGCATGCTGTTAGAGCTGCGGTGACTGATTTTGTTGTTACTGTAAGCAGCATCTAATGCGCTGTAAAAGACAGGTCTCTAGGATAAATAAGTAGAGGTTCCTAAGTACTAAAGCGCATAGTCTTTAGTGCTGTAGAGGTACTTAATAACATGCTAAGCAGCCTTCTAGTGTTTATCTAAGGGGTTAACTAGGTATTTAGAGAGCTTTAAATGTGCTTTAGCAACATTAGGTCTAATAGTAGTAGCAGTATAGCTAATAGAGCTAACATGCTGCTAGTATGCTATAATCCTCTATGTGTTTGTTTTAGTTATCTAGTTAGGCTGCAAAGGTAGTGCTAATGCATTTAGTAGGGTAATTAGCTAAGGACGTGTGCAATTAGTATTAAGATTAAAGTAGGTAGCAAGCTGCTTAATGTATAACTCTTAGCTAAGCTATATAGTGCAGTTAACCTTATTATAGTTAATTTAGATGCTAAGGAACTAGTTTAGTTCCCTTATAGCTTAGATCTTATAGATCTTTATAAGCTTAATTTTAAATTAGTCTAGGTGCTTTTTATACTCTAGTAGGCAAAGGATAATAATGTTATTAATGTAGAAGTAAGCTAAGAGCTTTTTATTAGCAAAAAGATAATTAACTCTAGGGACTTAGAAGAAGCTAAGCTTCTTAAGCAACTTAGTAAGCTCTAAATACTAAAGCCTAAGTGCGTCTTTAAGCCTGTATAGAGCTTAGAGGAGTTAAAGAAGTTGCTAAGGGCGACAGTAGCCTAGTAGCAGTTTGCAATATGCTAGGGTTAGAAGCTAAGCGTTAATAAACGCATTAATAGCGTTGTATTATCATGTGAGCAGGCTAAACAAGGCTATAATAGCAACAAGCGCCCTAAAGACGCGTGCTGCTAGAGTGGCAGCATATGTTTTAGCTGTAGTAACCTAAAGGTCGCCTTGTACACAGAGACAAGCCTTAAATTTAGTTAAAAATCCTTTAGCGTTAAATTTGTACTTATATACTTATTTTAGGGGTATTACTTAAGCATCTGCAGCCTCTACAATAGAGACTAGCTTAAATGCCTCTTTCTAATAAAGGTCTGTGAATTTAATCCCTATAGCATGCTTCTAGCTGTCTAAGAATTAGTAGTAGTGTGCCTTATAGTAAGTTTTAGGCACAGGAGGTAGATTATTTTAATAAAGAGCTTTAAAAGTAATAGTAGTAGGTTTTATAAAGTCTTTTATAAAGCCTAATGCAAAGGCTTAGTACTAGCTAGACATTTTAGTAGTAGTTTGCATAAGGGCAGCAGTGTATTATTAACGCCTTGTTCTGCTTTCTCTCTCTAGGATGTTTAATTTATTAATGTTAGCTGTGCTTCTAGCAGGGCCTAGTCTAGTAGATTCCTTAAGCTATGTACGCAGGACAAAGTTAGCCCTTTTAAGAATTTTTTAAGGCTTATAATTAATTAGAGATGTGTGCTAACTAGTTATAGCTTACTTAACATAATTATTATTAGTTTTAAAGTCTATAGCTGCGTTGCTTATTTACAGATAAACCTTAATAACTAATAGGGTCTTGTTATTAGAGCTATTATCTAATGTGTTGCTAAAGTTATTTTAAGAGACTAAGTTAATGTTAGTTTCTTTTTCTAAGTTAACCTCTAGGATAGTTTCTAAGGTTATTTTAGAAAAGGGCAGATAATAAAGAGAGCCTAGCTAGCGCTTCTTTTGCAGCTAATTACTAGGTCTGTCTTTACGCTCTTTAAGCTGTAGAAGCTCTTCTGTAAAGTTAATATAGTCCTTATTATTTAAGGTATTGTCTAGGGTAAGAAGAGTCTCTATAATAATGTTATCTCTAACTACCTGTTATAGTGGCTTGTACAATGCGTAGTTATTTAGTTTATAGAAGGAAGTGTTATTAAACATAACATTACGTACCTAGTAGACATAGTTATTTGTTAGGTTCTATATTTAATAGATGTTTTAGAAGTTATACCCACATAGATATCTAATAAAAGCTTATAGTGCAAGCTTGTCTAACTTTATAGTCTTTTTAATAAGGACATATGCCTTAACACTAATTTAGTAAAGGTAAGAGCAGTCTAGTTTCCTGCTGTATAGCATTTTAAATAGTGTCTTTTAATTAAGCAATTAAATAGGTGTACAGTTAAGCATGTAACCTATAAGACTAAATATAGTGTCTTTAAAAGACTTTAGAAATTAGCTAATGTGTGTAAGACTTTAAGCTTAAATAATAAGCGTCTAGCCTAAGCGTTTAGCTGCTCTATTAGCTTTTAGCGTATATAGTGGCGCTAGTTCTAGGGTAATGCCCTGTTTGTTGTAGAATTTCTGTAGAGTCTCTTTTACTTGTCTAAATGCAGCCTTATTGTTGCTCTAAAGTAGCGTTATTAAGATGTTAAATTAAATTAATGCTAGTTTATAGACCTTTTATATAATTAGAAAAATTACTACCTTCTCTTTAGACAGGGTAATAAATACTAGGTTATACTTTAACTAGGTATAATAGAAGTAGACTACATAGATGTTCTTGTAGATTAATAAAGACTAGAGCTCTATTAGGTTAAAGGTGACTTGCTAGAATAGTCTATTACTAGGTATTTTATGTTTATTTCTCTAGCTAATCTGCTACTTTATTTTTAAAAGCGCGCATAAGTTGCATTTAACAGTGTTTAGCGCTCTGCTAGTTAGTAGCTGTACGCTAGTAACTAACTTGTAGAGGTGTGTGACCGCTTCTAGGCTGATGCATCCCTATATATAATAGAGGGCGGTCGCGTCTTGCGTAATAGGTTGCTGTTTATAGCTTAGACAAAAGCGTTACTGTGCAAGGTCTTTAGCAGCTATAACTATTAGTAAGGTAGATCTAATAGATAGATCCTCTGTGCGCAATACTAGGGCCTAGTAACCCCTAGTTTAAGTAGTAAAGCAGATTAGTAATTAAGTGCTATTATAGAGTTATTTATATACAAAGTTGTCTCTAGAGTTAAAATGTATATCCTATCTTTAAGAAAGAGATACAAGACTAGTAAACATGCTAGGGATGTAGGCTACATTGTTTAGGTTTATCTTAGTAGGTCCTCTAGGACCCTTCACAGTAAGTGTGACTATGCCCTATGCTAGTATAGGAAGGAGTTGGCTGCTGGCCCTGAGTTAGTCTAATAGGGATAAGCTCTAAGTCTATTAAAAGTTAGCTAGATTGTTGCAAACATAGATGTCTGCTCTAGGATCTAGGATCTATGAGTGCTGGAGAGGATTCTCTTTGTCATCTAGCTCCGCGGCATGTTCTTTACTTACAAGGTTTGTTGTGAAGCTTATAAGAGTAGCTGCTAATCGCCTAGTGCTAGTTAGAGCATTAGGTGGATTCTAGTTAGTAGAATTATTGTAAGGTTAGGTCTTAGATATTGCATTTAGATTTAGACTAGGTTAAGACTGTAGGCTTTAATTGTACAATTAAGTCGCGTGACTAGACAATTAAGTTAGCTAATAATAGTTGCAATTGTTGCCGCCCCTTCTGCGTCCTCTTCCTTAGTTTAGTTAGTTTCTTAGTGGGGGAAGGTCTCTGTTCTTAAGCAGCTTAGCTTCTGCTTTAAGCTAAGGATTGCTGCTTATCTGCTTGTTGTATTCCTGCTAGAGGAAAGTAAGGATCTAGAACCCTTTAGGTCTTAGTTAAGGATTATTAATCCTGCAGTTCTTTAATTTATAGCAACCTCCACAGAAGTCGCATATAAACTGCTGTTGCTGCTGTTCTAGTGTAGACAAGCGTCCTTAGTATGTAGCAAAACTGCTGTAGGTAACACTAGGTTGCTAAGCTAGCTGTAATTATTGCTAATTTTTAAAGAACTCTAGACAGCTAGTAAGAAAATTAGGTAAATCCTTATTAGTCTGTTTATGCTAGACTAGGATTAATTAGATGGCTGCTGCGCATCCAGGGTTTACGTCTAAAATTGCCAACACAAAGTTATAGTGTAGTTAATATTCTGTCACATTTAGCAGGTAAACTAATTTAGCATTAATATATGCGTTCCTATACGCTGTAATCTATTAGTCCTGTTTTATTTTTAATAACTACTTCCTTGCGCAGTTATATGCTGTTTGTGCGCTCTGCTTAAGCTGCTTATTAGAGGGCTCTAAGATTGCCCTTAAAGCCTTTAGCATTTTATAGATTGTTTCTTTGTCCTTAATAATAGAGTAGTTTAATGCGTTAACAGTGCTCTTAATAAGCACATAGATGTTTAATAAGGCTTTGTGTTAAGTTTAGAATAACCTTAGATTATTGCAGTAGTCTTTGCAGGCTATTGTGTAGCATTGTTAATTGTTAAGGTTTAGGTTAGAGACTATAGGATTTGGACTGAGCTAGGTGCTGCCTGTATGAAACTTCGCGACCTCAGGCCTCTGTGGCATA